CACAGGCTATAAACTCACTGAGGAAGGGTGGCCTTTCATCCATGTGGCATCCTTAGCACGCTACCATTATGGTTTGGTTCCCAGATGGCCCTGCTGAAATCAAACAATTTGATGGGTGGGAGACCCTCACACAGCCTGTCCGCTCACCCACTGCAGACCTAGTCTACTTGGGGTCTTGGCAACGCCAAGTGGTGAAGGAAACTTGGCTCCTGTGCCCAACCTTCCACGCTCTTCCTTTCCTCTCCAAGGGTAAACAGGTCTCATGCCCATCTTTGAACTTTTCCTATCCTGAGTCGTCTGCCTAGACAACCTGGCCACTGGCCCACCCTGCACATTCCTGTGTTTCTCCTGGGACTGTCCCGTTGACCCTTCTGCACCTGTACTCAGATTACAAGATCTTCCTGCCATAGCAGGCGCAGTTCTGTCTTCCTTCTCTCTTCCAAACCCTTCCCCTCCTTCCTGTCCCTTCTTCACTCTGTGACCTGAATGAGGAATCACAAAAGGGAGCTTTAGAAAGACCAGGTCTCGTAAAGTAAGCAAAAACAAAAACAAACAAACAAACAAAACCAAGCAGACAAACAAAATAAGGGCAACAAAAGCGCCCGAACTGGCTTGAGGTTGTTTCTTTAAATGTTTTTATTAGCAGCTTTCAGTGTGGTAGGCAGTCTGTTCCCAGAAGTCTCCATCCTCCAGTCCCAAGGTCACTTCAGCTAGTCAGAGGAGAGTATAAGGACTGCCCTCAGCCTGCTGTGAATTCTCCTGTGCAAAGTCCAGCGAATGTTCCCTTGTCTCCAAGGCTCACCCCGGCTCAGAGCCTCTGGCAAGCCCTAATGGAACAGCTTCTCTCTCAGGGAAATTCTGCAAGTAAGCTTGGAAGTGCTTGCTCAGTGGAGTTTGAACCCGAGTTGACTGGTTCTCCCCAAACCAAGGTTCCACTAAGCAAAACAGCCTTATGGTAATTTGCATACATTTGGGCAGTAGACGAAGAAATTCTTGAGTTTACAGATATTTCTAAAGATCTGTGATTTTTAGACACACACATAACTACTCTTTGGGGGCCAGCAAGAAGATGGCTCAGCTCCTAAAGGTGCCTGCCACCCGGCTGACGGCCTGAACTTGATGCCGGGGATCTACATGGTAGAAAACGGAGAACAGACTCCTGCCTGGTTGTCTGCTGACCTGTGCATGGGCGTCATGGCAACACACCATAGAAAAAAACAAACGTAAAAAGAAAATTTAAATTATTCCCAGAGAGTAAAAGAAATACCCCAAGGATCTGTAATTAAAAGTATCTGATCCAAATTGGATTTCAGGATCCTCCCAACTATAAATGTATCTATTTATTCATTATGCCCCCCCGAAATATTCATGCTATATGTCTCTAGGACTTTTCAACCTTATCAGTAACCCAAACTGTTTTTTTTTTTTTAAGAACGAAATAATTCAGGACTGGAGTTCAGATCCCCAGAACCCACCTACCAGTCAAGTGGGTGTGGCAGACCCCCTAGAACCCCAGTGCTTAGCAACAGAGACAGGGAACTCCTGGAGCAAGTTGGCTAGCCATACTACCCACAAAGTCCAGGTGGGAGAAACCCTGCCTCGATACAGAAGGTGGAGAAGTGACCTAAGAGGGTACGTGGTTTTGGGCTCGGTCCTCCACACACATGCGCCTGCAACTGGGCGACATACTTGGTGTCCACCTTGGGCCTTCACAAGCACACACACACGTGTACTGCACACACAAGTCCACAGACACACATACATATTTTTAAAAACAATCCAGTTGGGCGGTGGTGGCGCATGCCTTTAATCCCAGTACTTGGGAGGCAGAGGCCAGCAGATCTCTGTGAGTTCAAGGCCAGCCTGGTCTACAACAGTGAGTTCCAGGACAGGCTCCAAAGCTCCAGAGAAATCCTGTCTTGAAAAAACAAAACAAAACAAAAAAATTAAAACAAAATCCGGCCTGATGTAGTGGGGCTTGTCTATAATCTCAGCATCTAGGAGGTGGTGGCAGGAGAATCAGGATTCCACGGCCAGGCTGGGCTCCATGAGACAGTGTCTCAAAAAAAGCAGCCCAAATCCAATCAGTTGGTGACTAGCTAGTCTTGATTACTCAGGAGCTGTGGCGGCGTTTATTAATTACTCAGGCTGCTCACTCGCCCTTCCTCTGTTCCTTGTCTGTTATTTGTCTTCTTCCAGGGACCCAGCACCTTCATTACATCCCATCCGTCCCTGCCTCGGAGATGTCCCCTGGACGCTGTCCCCGTCCCAGCTGCACTGCCATTTATCACTGCCCTTTGTTTGTGCTCTGTCATCCAGGTTTCAATTTATTTTGAATTCAGTTTATGATTAAAATTTAATGAGATCCAATCAAGGGCTTTTTTTTTTTTTTCCAAATCAAGATGCCTCTGCAGTCGGCACCCTCCATTGTAATGGCACGAGGGAAAGTCGCTCAGGCTTCCTCCTGTGGGGCCCGGTGAACACCGGAGGTGCGCACCCATGCCTCTCCAGGTCAAGATACCGCTGCGGTCTCAGAGCGCCCTCCATTGCAATGGCACCAGAGAAAGATGCCCAGGCTTCCTCCTTCACTGACGCACACCCACGCCTCTGCAGGTCAAGGTGACCGCTCTGAAACCGACTTAGAACGGAGTTGCTAGCAGTTCCCACTTAGGCTGCCCGCCCTCTCAAATAAATAGAGCGTCAACACAGACGGCTCAGCCCTCGGGCTCTAAGCTGAACTGCTACAGGGCATAGGACCTTGAGGAAGTTCTTTAACCTTCCTGTACCTCAGTTTCCCCATTATAAAACAGAGCCAACAATAGTCCCTATCAACTCAGGTCACAGTGAGAACTAAATGAATATTTTTATACTGTGTGTAAAGATCCTTGTAACGACTTTATGCACAATATTCAGTAAGTATTAACAGGTAAGAGAGGGCACTGTTTCTTAACTAGAGCCATTTTATTAGGTTTGCATTTTGCTACATCAGCATAGTCTTTATCAGCTCTTAGGCCAAAGGTAGCCCATGAGGTCTTTCTATACTAGCCTAGTGCTAAGAAGTATTTTTATATTAATTTTTTTTGATTTTTAGTTGTGTGTGGGAGGCATGGTATGTGCATGTGAGTAAGGTTGTCTGTGGTGGGCAGAGGCACCAGGTCCCTCTGGATCTCGTTATAGGTTGTTCTAAGCCATCCGTGGATGCTGTGTTCCCAGTGGATGCTGGGTACAGAACGCAGGCCCTCTGCATGAGCAGTATACATGGTCAACCACAGAGCCATCTCTCCAGCCCCTAGCTTTGTGTTTAACAAACCCCACACAGTGAGGCACCAGGGTAAGAGTCTTGCTGGGCAAGCATGAGGGCCCGAGTTCAAATCCCCAGGACCCATGGAAAAAGATGTACATGGCTGTGCAGGCCTTTAACCCAGTGCTGGGGATCAGAGATGGGTGGATCCTAGGACCTCACCTGCCAGTCAGCCTAGGTTCAGTGAGAGACCCTGCCTCGGGGGAATAAGAAACTTCTCTCTCTCTCTCTCTCTCTCACACACACACACACACACACACACACACACACTTCTCTCTCTCTCTCTCTCTCTCTCACACACACACACACACACTGGAATACAAGAAAGAGACACCATATGAACCATAAACCAGAAAGGTTGTGCTATTTGGTCCTTTGTAGGGAAAATGTGCCAAGCACGGATCTCAATGGTTTGTTTCCACCATTCTCTCTGCTGGGAGACAGATCCTTAGGCAGGTTTGCCTTCACCAATCTCTCGTGTGGCTTTCGCAAAGCTCTTTAATGTGTATCATGGAGGAATAGCAGAATGGGACTCTCACTCTGCCTGTGGCCCAGGACCAGGTGAGCTGCCATGAATCAAATGTGGAGTCCTCTCGTGTACACTCGCTGGTTACACAGCTACGGTCCCCATACACTAGGATCGGATGACACTCTTTGTAGCTGGTACACCTGTGTGGGACGGCATCTAGAAAAACTATTCCAAAGCCAAGTCTCTGGCTGGGATAAAAGTAACTTAAGAACTGGATGTGGACCAGGCTCGGCATTGGGCATGCTATACGTTTTAGCCTTGTATCACCCCTATGGGCCAGAGTTGCTAGTCCTTCCTTTTTGTAGATTAGAAAAATGACACAGAGAAGCAACTTTGTCATGGTCATGACATTTAATTACACAGCTGGTAGGGAAGCAATCACAATCCAGATGTCTGCATCCAGAAGGAGTTAAGTTCTGAGAATAGCTCACACCTGAGAAATACGTGTTGATTCAGGGCAAAACCACCTGTAAGTCAGAGCCACGGTGAACTGTGAGCATGACTGTGACCTTAGGTCTGTTAACTTGTGTCCTGGGGGAGCCTTGGGTTTCAAACAGGAAGGGGAAGGAAGCCATCTGATGGAATGCAAGAGGGGAGGCCAGGGTGACCAGAGGGACCAAGGTCCTGGTGAGATCACAGAGGTCTGTGGAGACCAATGAGCTCCTTTCTAGGACTCTGGTGAGTGAAGGTGCGCGCTGATACGGTAGGGAAGATCTGAGCCGAGTGCAGGGCTGTGTGCAGAGAAAGGCGGGAGGAAGGAGTGTGAGCAATTCTAGAAAGAGAACCAGGGGCACACATCCTGGGTGGGGAGTGTCTTGACTGCATAGCTGGTCCTGCTGGGGGCTGGGGGAGAGTAGACGACACAGCCTCGGACCTGGGAGGGGAAGAGGAAAGCCAGAGGTTTGGGGAGAGATGGAGAAACTGACAGAGGAGAATGAAGAGGGCTGGGGAGATGGCTCAGTGATCAGAGGCTGCTGCCCTTATAGAGGACCCAGTCAGTTCTCAGTACCTACATGGTAGCTCTCCATTGCCTGTAACTCGAGTTCCAGGGGATCCAATGTCCTCTTCTGACCTTCCAGGGCACCAGGCACAGGTGTGGTGCCAAACATATAGGCAGGCAAAACACTCATACACATAAAAAAGAAAACAGCCCCCCCCGCCCCCCCCCCCCACACTCAGGAGGCAGAGGCTACATCAAGGCCAACCTGGTCTATGTGTAGTTCCGGGGCAGTCATGGATATGACTGGTGCAGTTGATACCCTCTCTCACAAAAAGAAAAAAGAACAGGGAATGCAAACACAAGAGCTGGAAACAGCAATTGCAGTTCTCGGCCGAAGTGGGTGAGCGAGACTTCCACGAGGAAGGCTGCTGTCTCTGGAGCTGGAACAGAGGGTCTATGGTTCCTGACTGTGGCCGTTCACTGTGGGGGCCATTCACTCTGGCAGTTGTTCGGTACCTAGCCTCTGTTTGCAGCTCAGCCAGCCAATAGGCACTCTGTTTTGTCTTTTGTATTCTGGGGAGTTCACGGGCTTCTGGAGGTGGAGTGGGAGTCACGGTTGGCATTGGTTCTTAATTGTTGTGAACACCAGGTCAATGGTATTCTAACAAGGAGTCCGGTAGACAGATACACACTCGGTACACATTAGGAAAGGCTCAGGCCGTTCTGGAAAGTGAATCCCCCTGCTCCCTGCCTACAGATGACTACTATTCTAGTTTCTAGGAGATGACACACATGTACAGTCTTACATCACAGCCAGCCAGGTGGCTCTTTTATTTTTTTTTTTAAACTAATATATTCGGAGCTGTTTCCACTTCAGTTCGCGTGGCACTTCCCCATTATTTGTGAAAAGACAGCGTGTTCATTGTCCAGATACACAATGCATTTTGAACCCAGAGACATTCTGTCTCGAGTCTTTGCTGCATCCCTTGTCTTTACAGACTTCGTTTGGCACCATGTGCACACTTCTCTGCAGAGGTGAAACGGCTCTGTCATGGGCCACAGACTCACAATTCTGATAGTTCTTTCTTTCCTCCTCGTAGAGCAAGGGAGAATTTGCTCACCCTCAGCATGGAGGCCCCGCCCTATCATAGTCTCTAAGCAGAGCCTGGCAACTGCCCTGAGAATTCCAGGAGTCCCAGCCATAACCCCACCCACCAGGTTTCCTCCTAGCCTCTCCCTTCCCGCAGAGAGGGCCACAGTGTGGCAGGCATGCTCTTATTCTCCAGGTATGACAAGCCTGTGCTTCCTAGTCTTTTGGAGCTGTCCCAGCAATGCAGGTTCCAGGGCTCCCACGCGCTGACATCCAGGTCTTCTGTCCACTCAGAGGTCAGGGGCTTTCTCCAAAGTCATGGCTAGCTGAGTAGGGACTTTCTACATCAGCCCGGACTTGCCTTGTGTCAGTGACTGGAGTACAGGCCACAGCAGGGTGAGAGTCACATGAACAGAACACGGAGCGAGCCTAGAAGAAAACAAGAAAAGTGGGAATGGTTAGCAGTGGAGAAATACTGGGCTGTTTTTAAGGAATAATATTTCTACAATGTCTTACTACAGTGAAAACTGCATCTTTGATTAACCCCTCTAACCTATGTGCTGCTGCTCCCTCTGACTGTCAGGGAGAGGGCTGACCAGTTCTGACCAGGGCTGGAGCTGAGAGGTTCCAGGTCTACAAATGCCAACCCTGCCAGGGAACCATCCAGCTGCAAGTACTGCTGTACAGTAGACAGCGACCATTCATTCAGTCAGCACACCCTTACTGAGCGTCTACCAGTGCCGGGTGTGGTTCTAGGTGTTGGTCAGGGCTGTGGGTAGTGGACTGACAAGTCACGGTGTGGTGAATTATATTTTGGAAGCAAACAGGATTAAATGTTTACATTATCTATCTCGGAGGAATATGTAAGATGGTAATGATTGCTAACGAGGATGGGAAAACAGAGAGGGCGTGGAAGGGAGGGAGACTAGAAACACTTTACCAAGCGAGTCCAGGGGGATCACTGAGAAGGCGACACTTGAGGAGAAAGGAAGGGAGCCATGCGGGTATTCTGAGAACGAGTGCACCCTGGGGTAGGTCCTGCTGCCTGCCTGCGTGTTTTCTCTCTGCGTCAGATCGAGAGACACAGGAGGCACAGGCTGTCCGTGTCTTTAGGAATACTTCTGGTGAGCTTTCACTGTCTCCTTGTTCTTCCTTTCATGCTGCACTACCCGTAGACATTTAAAAAGCAAAACAATTGTAATTGAGCTTATGCCTTGGGGGTGGGCCACTAACATGGAGTAAGGGCTTGCTGTCTGTGTGTATTTGGTGGTGACTCACTTCAAACCTCGGGGTCCATTCTCATTTTGTAGTGATTACTGATGCTACAGTGTTACTGTGAGGGTTGTCATTGCCATGACAGGTTTGTTTCCTACACCTGAGGGGCCATGTGCCCCTTTACAGACCAGTTTTAAGGCATGTGAGATGGCCACACTTGTCACCTGTGATATTAGCCTCCCTGTAGCCCCTGGCAGACCTCTGAGCTAGAAAAGTCAAATCTGAAAATTTGCTTTGGGTAGGAAGTTACTTCTCAGAAATCCACATTTGAAAACCCGCAGAGATTAGGAGCCTTTGCACCCGAAGTGTTTGCAGTTTGAGCAAGGGATGTGAATCACATGACAAGAGCTGGCAGAATGTCATCCTTTTGCTAGCTGGCTCGCTGTCCACCCTCCTCAACCTCTCACTTATCCGCAGGCTCAGGGAGGCGAGCTCACACAGCCTCGGCCACCCGAGAGATAACTTCTGCTTCCCAGCTGGCTGAGCTGAAAAGCATGCTACACAGTGTATCCCATTTTGTAGATGCAGACAAACTGTAAGGATAAGAGGAAATGATTTTAAAATAGTAAAATGGCGGGCTACTTTTTTATCTTTTGGTAGGTTCTTAGTCATTTTCAAAAGCTCAAACCAAGTTAGAGGGCGGGATCTCTTCCAAGGGATGTATACAACAGCCTGGGAAGGGACGGCTGAGGGCAGGTGGAAGCTGAGGCTGCTTCCCGTGTGCCAGGAAGAGCACAGGATTGCAGCAGCAAGGGAGCAAGAGCAATGTTTTATTTTTCAGCCTAAGCGGTTCTCCTGCGTCAGCCTCTGTAAAAATTGCAACTATAGTCATGTGCTAACATGCCTGGCTTTCTGTAGACAGTTAAGCCCAGTGGACAGGGACCAACGCTCTACCTTAGTAGATGTTTGTCTACTCTGGAAAGCCCTGGGTTCCATCTAGAAGCAAACTGTTGGCCTGCCCTGTGAAAGGGGAATATTGCCATGCAGGCTGCCCTCTCTTATTGGAGTGGGCACACGGTGTAAAAGACTGAAAACTCCTATTCTCCAAAGCTGTCTTAGCACAATAATTTATTTATGTACTCTGCGACTTTAGGCGCACGAGGCTCTCCGTAAACGGGGGTGGCTGAAAGGCCGCATGGATCCAAAGTTGGAATTTAAACTCCCCGCACAGCCTTTTTCTCTCTAGTATTTGAAGTGTGCTGTGTATAGAGGCCCTTTGAAGTATGAACCACCGGGATTTCCGACATTTACTCGCTCTTACAACACTTGCTCTGCAGCCTCCTGTGAACCCCCTAGTGTCCCAACAGCACCCCATCTCCCAGGCTTTCCTCTGTTTGCCCTACAGCTGGGCATCCAGCAACCAGCTAATGATTAGACAGACAAGGGAAGCTCCTCCTCCTCCCCATTGTGTTAAGTTGATTTCTAGAGATAAAAGCAGTATTGCTTGGATCGTGGGCTCTGCTCTGGGGGCCAAGGGTAGTTGAACAAGCCTTTAGTCATGGCTTCCTTCATTACAGGCCCAGTGCCCGGAGGTAAATACATCCTCCAAACGACCCAAGTTGTTGAGTGGAAAATGTCACCATGACCTGTTTTTAAGCTTGTGCTTTCTTTTTCTAAGAAACGTATTTAGTGTTATTAGGTTTATTTAGTGTTGTTAAGCAATAGCCAACTGGAGTAAAAAATAAATAAAATGTAAGTTCAAAAGGTAAAACTCATTGCACTTCTGACCGCCCTCAGTGCAGGTCTGTGTACATCACGCGGTTACACCCATAAAGAAGGGTATGCACACACCGGCACTCACAGCTGCTCCTCTTCTCAGACACCCTGTCCTGCTTCTCACTTTAAAAAAAAAAAAAAAACAACAACAGTACGTCCTGGAGATTGTTCCCCATCAGTTCCTGGGATTATTTGCATCATGCATTCCAAACACACAAGGCAGCCCACTTTCTGATAATCTCTCTCTTCTCAGTAAGCGGCAGTTGCTTTTCAGCCGTGGTTTCCCCTTGCTGGTAAGCAGTTCCTACCACACAATGACTTCTGGTCATATTTCTTCAATTGCCTTCCAGATAAAATATCTTAATACACATTAGTGCCTTTGCCTGGAATGGCTGAGTACACCACTCGCTGTGACTGGGGCCCCGCAGACAGCGGTGTCACACGACTGTTAATTTAAACCACATCCTGAACCAGGTCCTTTAAGGTCAGAAGATGCTCTATCTTCTGAGACTGGCTTGCTTTCTCTTGTTCCAGAAACTAGAATGAGCCGAAGCATTCCTGTGGAGGTTGACGAATCAGAACCATTCCCAAGTCAATTGCTGAAACCAATCCCAGAATATTCTCTGGAAGAGGAATTGGAACCACCTGCTCCAAATACAAGGAACATGGCACCCAGCAGCTTGTCAGCACGCCAAGCCTCTCGCCATGCTTCAGGAGACCGTTGTCAGGCTCGCCCTCCTCCCCTGAAACTTGCCCATCACCAGCCAGTGTCACAACAGGTCACTGACCTGCGCACTAAAGTCCTGGAGGAGAGTGATGCCAGTTTCTTTAGAAGGCACCCTGATCCTGGCAAGGGATTCTGCTCATGCTCATCTGAAGCCAGTGAGCCTGAGTCGGAGTCTGTGCTTGGCGCCCTCCGTCCTGAGCACCGGTTTTCACTTCTGGAAAAACGCAATAGACGGCTGGGAGCTCAGCTTTCGGCAGCCTCTCCCGACACTGGCCATGACTCAGACACGTCGGACCCAAGTTTGCCTAATGCTCTGGCTGACTCCTCCAGTGGTGGCCAAGAGACAGTATCTCGGCTCCGACCCCACAGGAACAGAACAGCCCCAGATGTGCCCACGATAGACACCGGGTATGATTCCCAGCCCCAAGACGTCCTGGGCATCAGACAGCTGGAAAGGCCACTGCCCCTCACCTCCACATGTTACCTGCAAGACCTCCCTGGGCCTCTGAGGTCCCAGGAGTTCCCTCAGTGTGAACTTCAGAGGTATCCAGCATGTGCACAGAGGGCTCCTCTCAATCCGTCCCCACAGGCTCCATGGAACTATCAGTATCATTGTCCCGGAGGGCCCTATCACCAGGCGCCATGTAAGTGATCTTTATCGCTTCTGGGCTTCTGAACAACACTGCCCATGTCCGAAGACTGGCAGTAAGGGAGAGTGTTCTCTGGGGCACGGTATTTCAGCATGCAGTTGGCTTGCCAGGGGGCCTTAGTAGGATGCATTTTCTTGGCCAAGACCCATCTCACTTAAATCTCCCTCTAGGAAGCTTTCAGGACAAAGCGGATCCCCCTGTTGAGCAATTAAAATCTGCTTTGAGGCAGAGAAGCCGCTGATGATTGCTAGAAAATTCATTTGTCCTAGTTCTTTGGGCTTCTTTCTGGGTTCTTCCTTTCCCTGTTCCCTTCCCATCAGAGTTGGCTGAGAAAGTGGGCGGGACCAGGTGCCTGCTGGGTGCCAACCACAGCACAGGTGTGGTGGATTTCTTAAGTCTGAGTCACTACAATCGAACTTTGATAGGCAGGTTTAGTTCTCAGAAGTCTCCAGGTTAGTTTTAAAAGCTGTTGAAATTCTACTTACCTGCACGTAAAGATACTTTTTCTGCTAACAGCAGTATGAGGGGAGTTTCCTCCAAACGAAATATGCCCAAAAGTTGAAAAGGGATATTTCCTTTACCCAAATAGAATTCCCTATTAGGATTTTGCTACATTTATTTCACTGGGTTTTTTTTTATCCTTTGCAAATATACCTAATATAAAATACTTTCCAATGACACTGAGTGTACTTCTTCCAGCATCGCTTAGAATGTTGAATTGGACTTGTGAGATGGCTTAGTGATTAAGGGCACTTGCTGCCAAGCCTGAAACCTGAGTTCCATCCCTGGGGCCCACATGATGGATGGAGAGCCATCTTGCAAACTGTCTTCTGGCTTCCACATGTGCACTGTGGCACCCAAAAGAGCATGTACACACGCGCACGCATGCGCAAATGTAAAATCTAGATAAAGTGCTCAAAGGCTGAACTGTATTTCATTAGATTTATTGATGAGTTATCATTAACTTGTTCTCTGTTCTCAGACATTTAAAGTTTTTTTCTGGTCTAATAACCAATTCTATGACAAGCATTATTTTTATCTGCATTTCTGATTAACCCCTT